TGGGTAGTAGTGATGAGTGGTTGCGCTCCTCCCCAGCAGTGACTGAGGCAGTTGTATTGGCCCAGAGTTGGTGAGTCGTGCTGGACGAGACGAATGTCGGTGTAGTTCTCGCCGATGCGGATGACTCGACGCGGGAGAAGGGTTTCCTCTGAACTGTGACATTCCGGATGGTTGGCCAGGCAGTCCTTGAGCCAGTAGGAGGCTACATCGTAAGAGTGAGAGTCCAGGATATGGACGGCTGAAGGGGTGTGTTTCCTGTCGTCGAAGGTATTCCAAGGACACGGGAGAGTGTCGAGTGAAGTGAAGGTCATGATGCGGTGCTCGTCTTCATCTCCGGTGCTGAGTTTGGAGCCTTCCCGCACACGAAAGGTGCTGATTTTGGGAAAGGCTTCTGCCGAACTCCAGATTTCCAGTTCCTCGTCCATTCCCAGCCGTCTTTTCACCTTTCTTTCGGCCAGAGTGGTTAGGATGCGGCATTGCCAGCAGGTATCGGGCGATGCGTTTGCGACCTTCAATACGACCGAATGCGAGAGAGATGACTTTTGTTCGTCGACGGCGAAGGCCCTCTCGCATTCTGCGCATCTCGTGTCTGGAAGAGGGCCGCGGGATACCAGGGTGTTTCTTGACGAAGACGCCTCTTCCCACCATCTTGACAGTGTCCAGGGGGCCGTCTGAGGTTGAGGGTCTGGGAGGGGAGCGTCATGGGCGGCCTGGGACATGTTCGCTGTGCAGACGATAATTGAAGCGATAGCTGCGGAAGTGGCATTCAGTTCGCCGTCGTTGGTGTTGCAGAGGTTATCGTGTCAACTGCGATGACGAAGGATTCATCTTGTCACAATTGGTAGCGTCGTAAGCACTAACTCATGAGCGCCAAGACAAACCAATTGGCACCATGATAGCGGCGCCATTGATGTCAGGGCATGATTGCCGATTTTTTTTTTTTCATTATCTGTTTGAAATGAAGAATAAGTATTGGGAGTCATGGTTTGCGTGAACTGAGGAGGATCGAAAGTCGGGATGGTAGCAGGGTACCTTGAGGTATGAAGATGTCGACAAGCAGAAGTAGGATGGCGCTCTATCTGGAACCCCGCACAATTGGATGTCCAGCTGATAGTGTGGTAACTGGTCCCAAGACTCTTTGCGAGTTTGCGCCCTGTCGGAACAACCTTATTCGGGGCATGATGGTAGCAAGCACCGAGTATAAAGAAAACAAGCGGGCTTCCATAAGGTAATTCTGAATTTGAGGATGATACTCAAAGCAGTGCCCCTAATTTGGTGTGGTTGACAAGATGTGTGTGTTTGCTAGAAGAAAAAATTTTGCAGGAAGAGAACTGAATGGGCGGGTGCAGGAACCATCAGTGGCATTCGGCATCGAACAATTTCTTGTACAGGGCAGTGACGACAGACCAGGGCATGACCGATAGCGAAAGGAAGGAACAACCAACGAGAAAAGCAGCCCGCAGCATTTCGATCCTGCCGTGATGGCATCTGACCGAGTAAAGGTGCAATTGGAATATTAGCTAGATATTGATCATGGTGTAGGCAGCAGATTCGACAATCATCCTTAGACAGGCGCGAGTTAAATTGTCCGTTTGTCTTCTGAAAACTGATGTGAACCATATTCCGTTACCTCACTTATTCTCACCATCTTCGTCCACGTTTGTCGTTACAACGCGGGCCACCAGGATTGGCAATCTCAAATGGCCAGTGTAAGCAAAAATAATGAAAGACAAAACAAGGATAGAAAAAGATTAGGGATGGCTTTGACAGCATGTCATGAAAAAAATCGCAAAAAGATATTGAGACTCGGATACCGGGAGTCGAACCCGGGGCTGTTGAGAGAGCAGTCACTCCTAAGAAGTGAGAGTCAACGATGTTACCGCTACACCATACCCGATTGAACTGGTATGGTCCGACTTTGATGGTGGATTGGGTCCGCCGTGGGCCTTATGATTCAAAGATAAATAACTGCGGGGTCCGGTGTTTCCCCGCATTCATGATCATCAAGACTGGAAGCAAACAACAACAATAACAACAACACCATCACCAAGAATCCCAACCCACGATGAGTCAAGTGTCCAGCTCTCTTTTTTAAAACTTTGGGATTCTCGCGCTCACGGACCGTCATCCCGCCAAACCCGACGCACGCTGACAGCTGACCTCGTGTTCGTGCCGATGTTCAGCCAGGACGGGACCCCGCTCCGCCGAGGCCAGCTAACCAACCGACGACGGCAGCCGGGGCGGGAGCTTGACTGACAACATGAACTCCGCCTGGAACTCCGCCAAATGACACAATACCTTTGATGAGTTACACAGGACAGGTGGAAGGAACCAAGGACAACACTCATATATATCTTCACTTCCCCTATCCAAGCTCACATCTTTCACAGTTCCAGTTCAACAACACCTCACACAAAGCCCAGCCAGATCAGCACCTCTCACACACAGCAACATGTCCTCACCAGCCTTCATCCCCGACCCCAAGAACCCCGACGACTGCGCCGAGAACCATCGCCGCATGCTCGCCGGCGAGCTCTACTACTGCTGGACGCCCAACCTAGTCCAAGGCCGCGCAAGATGCAAGTCGGCAATGCTCAAGTATAACACCGAGGCGGCCGATGGTAACACGACAAGGAGGAGACAGGCCGAGTTGTTGAAGGAGTGAGTTTCTCTTTCCCCTCACCTCACTTACATCCCTTCTCGTCCTGTCCCCCTACCTACCTACCCTCATCTCCCTATCTCACAAAACAAACAACTAACATCCCCCAAAGCCTCCTCCAAAACCCCACCCCCTCCCTCCCAAGCTCGACGACCCCTCCGCCGACGCCTCCCAATTCTCCGACTTCCCCTACATCGACACCCCCATCAAATGCGACTACGGCAGCAACGTGCGCCTGGGAAAGGGAGTCTATCTCAACTCCAACTGCACCCTTTTGGACGTCTGCACCATCACCATCGGCGCCCGCACCTTGATCGGTCCCGACGTCAAATTTTACAGTGCTACGCACCCCATTGACCCTGTGATTCGAAACGGGATGAGAGGACCGGAGCTGGGGAAGCCGATTACGGTGGGGGAAGATTGTTGGTTTGGTGGGAGCGTGGTGGTGTTGCCTGGGGTGACGATTGGGAGGGGGTGGTGGTGGGGGCGGGGAGTGTGGTGACGAAGGATGTGGAGGATTTTGTGGTGGTGGCGGGAAACCCGGCGAGGGTGGTGAAGAGGTTGGATGTGGATAGGGGGGAAGTATGAGGAGATGGTTAGGGAGAATAGGGAGAGGAGGGGGCATTGAGGGTTGTGAAGAAGGTGAGAGTATGCCCCTGGGGGCTGAGGGGGGTGAGGATGGATAAGGGTGGATGGATATTGACTGGGTTGAAGTGGCTGATATCACTACATCAACATCGGAATATTGAACAAGACGGGCAGTTATCACAAATAGCAGTTTCGTTCGTACAGATCCGTCAAACAAACACATACGCTTGGCCATTATCCTCCCCTCTCGTCGAATTCGTCAACCTCGTTCATCATTCTTCATCCATACACGACACATATTCTTACACTATCTCGACACTTTCCATCACAATATTCTTCCGCTCCATCAAATATGGTTGTGTGATATCCAATCTTTCTTCCACCCCTTTACTTCCTCCCGCCTCTCTGAACTTTTCTTCTTCTTTTCACCCCTTCCCCCTTTTCCTCTGTGTCCCTTCCCTCAATCAACACAGGTTTCCATCCACCCTTCTTCCTCCCCTCCCCTCTCTGTATTCCTCCTTTCCTCCGGGAACACCTAAGCAACAGCCCCATTCCTAACCCTCAACCTCATCACATCCCCCAGCTCTCCCTTGGTGTTATCATGCGTCAGCACGTACCGGTCGCCCGGTTGGTTGTAGAAGCCCGTGCGCTCGAGCATCTTGGAGGTGTACAGGACGGCGCAGGTGGCGGCTACGCCGAAGGCGGTGCGGGTTGCGTATTTCCTTTTTGTTATTCGTTTGTGGTCAGCCATATTGTTTCTGAAATGCCATCCATAGACAGCTTAAGTGTGGTATAGGAACTTGGGGGGGGGGGGGGGAAGGAGAGAAAGGGAGGGTTACGGGGCACGGGGTGTGCGCTTGTGTGCTGCCATGGGAAAAGTGAGGTGAACATGTCATGTCGAAGGATGATCAAGGAAGATGAGTGAGGGTAACGAAAATGGTACGATAACGGAAGCTTAAATGATGGATGATGTTTGTAAGGGGAGAGAGATACATTCTATGAAGCTGCTCAGCGAGCTTTTGTCTTTTGTCTTCCCAACAATCTATCCCCAACGGGCAGATAAGAAACTCACCGATGAATAGCACTAGCATAAGGATACACCTCCTGTCCACTCGGTCCGCCACAATCATCTTCCACATCCTGGCCGTTTGCTCTCTTGTGGTGGATATTCTTCTTTTGTGTCTTCGTCGCGACCGGCTGGCGAGGGCCTCTGGGGTGAAGAAAAGCCAGACGGGGTCGGACCAAAGTCCGGGAGAAGATACGGGTTTGTAACATGATGTCTGCTTTTGGTTGGTGTAGTTGGTTGTGGTTTGGATTTCGTGTGGTTGGGTTGGGTGTTTGAATGTGATCTTGTGAATGTTGTTGCGTTTACTTTTGGATGAAGTAAAAAGATGATGAGTCGAGCGATTTCAAGACCATGGTTGGCTTCGAAATAATATCATTAATTCTCGACAACCCGCTGCGCATGTCATCGTCCAGTCTCATCCATAGTCAAAAATGTAATAGTGACGTGAACCGTTGAGGTGGGAAAACGGCGGAGAAGAGGACCGTGAGCGTTGTTCCGGGGTGTGTTCAATAACATGAATTCCATGTGCCATACCTATCTCGAAACACCATTTACAACACCAAACAAGGCGGATGATAAACCGCCAACGAAGGACGAATAAATAAAAAAGAAAGAAAAAAATGCCCAAGAAGATACTCGGAAAAGAGAAAGTGTCGCGATACAACAGAAAAAAAACCGAAAAAGAAATGCCCCCACGCGGGATTGAACCGCGGACCTCATCATATCGTAGTTGCACTTTCCGAAAGGAAAGCTTACGAGTGATGCGCTCTACCACTGAGCTATACGGGCTTAACCCTGTTTTGGTTTGTTGATAGGCGGTACTGGGATAATCCTTATCATTTCCTTACCATCTACCCAACCTAATGTACCTAGACCAGAACAGAGTATCAACAACATTCCGTCCGTTAGCGACTCAAACTAGGACAACTTTTAAACCGACTTAACACGATATCATGCTTAGACCTAGGTAAACGAATTTCGCACATAGTTTACTCTATATAAGAAACCAACCAAAGACACAAGGAAATAAAAACAAGGCGGCGCATACGAGCAAAACTACAAAGAGATTCCAAACCAACCTCCAAAATTCCGGGCCTTGACGAAAGCACACAAACCAACATCACCACCATTGCTCACTCGAATCCTCCTCTTTCTCTTCTTCCTCGGTAAAACAGTACGGTACTCAAGGACCCATACCACCCATCGAAACATCCGAATCCGAATCCGAATCTGAACGAGACGCCGCCGCCGCCGCCGCCGCCGCTCCTCGTGATATTCCACCAATACTCTGCGGATACGGATAGGGCCTAGGGTGCCCCGAGTTCGGTCTTGCACCCGTGTTTGCACCCGCACCAGGTCTCGCACCCGCACCAGGTCTTGCACCAGCACCGGGCCTTGCACTTCCACCTGGTCTTGAGGTCACAGCGGGCCTCGAAGTCATACCAGGCCTAGCACCGCCACCTGGCCCTGAGGTCACACCTGGCCTTGGAGTCACACCTGGCCTTGAAGTTACACCGGGCCTTGAGGTTACAGCGGGCCTTGAGGTTACAGCTGGCCTCGAAGTCATACCGGGCCTGGCACCAACACCCGCACTCGGCCTCGCACCCGTCGTGGTCCCCATCCCTGTTCCAGTTCCCGGCCAGGCCGGCGTTCCAAACCCCGTTCCAGTTCCTGTTCCAACTCCAGTTCCAGTTCCAGTCGTCGTCGTTCCAAATCCCGGCCCGGCCGCCGTTCCAAACCCCGTTCCAGTCATGGTCCCCATTCCAAAACCCGTTCCCATCCCCGCCGTTCCAGTCACCGTTCCAACCGCCGTCCCCATCCCCGTTCCAACCGCCGCCCCCATCCCCATCCCCGTCCCAGTCCCAGTCACCGCCCCCGTCCCCATCCCCACCCCCGTCCCCCCAACACCCAAAGGCGACTGCACAACCATATGCTGCCACACCGGCCAAACATCCGGCCCATTCGCCCCCACCTCATCCTCACTAGGATAATACACCTCCGGCGCCCCCCCTTGCGCAGCCGTCCCTGCCATCCCCCCTGTTGCTCCCCCTGGTGCCGTCCCCCACCCACTCCCAGTCCCAGTCCCAGCAGCTCCCCCAAAACCACCAGACATCCCCCCACCACCACTTTCTCCCTAAACTCCACAAAATCCGGACTCGCACACCCGGCATTAACCCACCCCTCCAACGTCGCCACGCCACCGCCACCGCCGCCGCCGCCGCCCCAGTGCTGCGTCTGCTGCTGCCACGTCGTGAAATCCATCAGCCTGCTGAGCTGATCGAGGCAGACCCACTCGGTGCCGAGTTCCTCGGCGTCGTATGCGGGGAAGGAGAGGTCGAAGTCGAGCCAGGCGCCGTTGGAGTTGTTTGCCCCGAGCGCCAGGTTTTGGCGGTGCAGGGATTTGTACTCGTTTATAAGAGCGTCCCAGAGGGATTTGGGGATGGGGTAGGCGGCCATGGCGCCGGTGATGCGCGGGGTTTCGACCCGGAGAAGCATTTCGAGGCGGGCGATGAAGACGCCGGTTTGCGGCGGGCGGTTGGCGGGCGTGGGCCAGGCGCTGGTGATGGGGGGGAGGCCGGTGCGGGTGTCGGCCAGGGGCGGCTGGACGCTGTAGGGGTCGGTGACCTCGGGAGGCGGCGGGGGGCCGCCGGGGGGAGGGGGACGGGTATTTGGGCGGATTTGGGACGGTTCCATTGTGGGGGGTAGGTGAAGAAGGCGCCGGCTTTGACGGCGGCCTTGCTGGGGATCCAGCGGTTGGGAATGTGTTGGCGGTTTGCAAAGTGGTATACCGTCCGGGTCTTTGGTTTTTTTGCTTTGCCGGGAGGTGGTGCAGCGGCGGCGGCCGCCATCGTCTGGGTATAATTCCAGTCGTACGGAAGGCAGGCGTGCATCATGAGCTCGATCATGAGAAAGGGCCACAGGGCGGCATGTTGGTGGAAATCAAAATCCATCTGGCCGTTTGAAAAGGTCAGATCCATGGCCGTGGCCTTGAGTCTGGTGGTATAGGCATAGACCACGCGTTCGGCCGCCCTTCGGTTCCGTGTCGCGACTGCCTGCCTGAACTGGTCGACAGACAGGCGAAAATCGACCATCGAGTACGGGGTTCTCTGCCAGATGTTGTACGACTGCTTGTACCAAGGCCGCAGGCTCTTCCAAAGCTTCTTGCGGAACTCCATGTACTGGTACGTCTGTTCTTCCTCGAGCAGGAACCTCGCCCGGTCCTGGCCGTAAGTGAACGGCCGATGACGGCTGTACAACGACTGCACGAATCTTTTCGCGTGGTAGAACCGCACCTGGTAGTATTTGTAGTACCTCGTGTGAGCACGCATCACTGGCTTGGGTACGAGCGCTGTTAACCCGTACACGTTCACGCACGAGTCCCAGTAATTCTGCGACTGCAGCCGGTAACTCCAGTACGTGGGCAAAGGGTCCACCTCGAGAAGATTTCCCGTTCGCGGAAAACGAGCCTCGCCGGTTGATGTATATATTAGTTGATTGCCCTTTCCGCGGTTTTGCGGGTGGGTAATCCACGAGGATCCATATCTCAACGCAGGACCAGCCCGGGAGAGGAACTTGCTGTCAGGCACGAAGACGTTAACGGGTCCTAAGCTGGTGACTTTGCCCTGGAGGGCCTGTTCATGCGACCAGCCCAGCTCCGCTGACTCGTCGTTCCCGTATACCTAGAAGCAGAATGTTTGGTCTGATCAGGAAAGAGAACAAAATGCCGGTGGGCAGGAATCAAGACTTACCGGTTCCAGTTTGTAGTAAGTCTGGCCATAATCGACCATGGTCTTTGTAACATAAAGTGCATGCTAGGCCCGCAAAACGCGTTAGTCAACGGCGACCGTCCGCATATGAACATGCGATGAGAGGAAATCGGTGCTTGTACTTGCCATCAACTCGTGTATTACCTGGCACGTCGTTGTTAGCCTTGGTCTCTAGTCTATAGAGACTTGCGGTAAACTCACTGTTAACGCCAAATGGGCCCGCGTAATATGCTTCGCGGCCACTTCCTCTGCAGTGTTGGAGACCTTGAGCAACGGTTCCAGAAGCATCGTGTTGATTTTGATGTCGGTAAATATCCGAGGGTCTTTTGGGTGTGGAAGGGCAGCAGCATCAAGCGTTGTCGAATTCGTCCCGGTTCTTGCAGCTGCATTTTCGCAGTAAGCAGCCGTGAGATCTTCCCTGTCTATTGACCCGTACTTGTCCACGTCCCGCGGGTCAAAAAAGGTCCAGACAATCCACTCTGAAAGTTGCTCAACTGCGGCCCATAACCTCTGGGCAACACCGCGGTCGGGCTGCCTGGGGCCGGTGCCGTCCTCACCCGGTGAAACCATGCGCCGGGGCATCCAGAAATTGATGCCGTTCTTTCCCCTTTCAAACGCTTCAACGTTCGGGACCGGGACGGTTTTACCCTCCAGCAGTGCATAAAGCCAGTCGCCGAAAATGACTTGAAAGAATAGCCTGTTGGCCATCTCAAGCACGATGCTCAGTTCTTTCCAGAGGTCCTTGTCATCCACAGACCAACTTCGCCTCTGTGTAATGTTACCCTGGGCATCCTTTTGCAAGACGGCGTTGGCCAAGTCGTACCAGCGACCCCGGGAAAAGACTTTATTCCACTTGCTCTCGTCCACGGTGACGAGATCGACGTCGGGAAAGTCTTGAACGTTAACGGCGACCTGGGGGAGTCCCATGGAGGAGAGGTCACACATCATGACCTCTTGCCAGAAACTTGTCCCAACGACACCCTGGTTGAGGATAGGGAGCTCCCATGTCCTGACGCCAAAGAGATTGGTTTGCTGCCAGTATTCGGTGAAGAATAGTTCGTCGAGTTGCCTGCTTGAAGGTTTTGGTATGGACTTGGGCTGGGGATCCGGGCCTGTAGCCGCCGCCTCCTGCAACGCTCGCCGGTGTGTGTACCAAAGGTCTTCCCCAAGGCCAAACGGCTCCAAAAGAGTTGGGAACATGGGAAGCATACCAGAGCTGACCGTGCCGTTGCTGTCTTCATCCAGTTTGACGCCCCAACGCTCGAACAAATGATCGCCATGTTTGGACGGAGGAGGTAGTTGCTGGTTAGCCATGGTGCGTATGCATGCGAAGAAAACCGATGGTGATGGTGATGGTGCAAAATTGAAGTGAAAAAAGGGGTGTGGAAAGCCAAGGTGATGTTGAAGAAGTGCGCGTGTGCGTGTCGGCAACGTCGCTGGAAAAATTCGATAGCTCTGGGTACTCGTGGGGGGAGAGGAGACGTTTCTAGTCTTGACGAGTAAACAAAGCGCATCATGCCCGGATCCAGTAACCTTGTGCTAGGTCTCTGTGGCTGCGTAAACAAAGACGCCCAGAACACGGATGCGGATAGAGGGTTCCTGTATGGGAACTGTGTCGAAGTATGGCCTTGTTCGGAAAGGAGCTACGGCAAGGGTTTCTTTGTCTCGAATTCTAGCTCCGGCGCATCCCTCATAAGCTTGCCGGATCAAGGCTTTATCTTGGACACGACGAGCATGGCAAGCGCATAATAGGCAGAACTCAGGAGGTACGGTAGACCCAGGGCCGATCCGCCGACCTTGACGCCTTGAACCCACAAAGCGGCCATGCTCGGTGCACCTACCAGCAAGCCAACCGTCTTGACCAGCATAACGATGGAGAAAATCTGAGCTTCTGAAACCACAACGGTGGCATCTTCAGCCCTCGCATCTGGCAATAACGAAGGCGATTTGAGCAGCGAGTAAGTAAACATGGGGAGGGCGATGCCCATGGCGTAGAGCAGCAGTGACGGTACCAAGGTCCAG